TACTGGGACCGACTAAAGAGCCTAAATCTGTACTCCCTTGAGCGCAGGCGGGAGAGATACATAATAATTTACACGTGGAAAATAATTGAGGGGCTGGTCCCAAACCTGCACACAGAAATAACACCACATGAGACCAGAAGACATGGCAGGATGTGCAGAATACCCCCGTTGAAAAGCAGAGGTGCAACAGGTACTCTGAGAGAGAACTCTATCAACATCAGAGCCCCAAGACTGTTCAACACGCTTCCACTACACATAAGGGGCATAACTGGCAAACCCCTCACAGTGTTCAAGAGAGAACTGGATAAGCACCTCCAAAGGATACCTGATCAACCAGGCTGTGACTCATACGTCAGGCTGCGAGCAGCCGCGTCTAACAGCCTGGTTGATCAGTCCAGCAACCAGGAGGCCTGGTCGACGACCGGGCCGCGGGGACACTAAGCCCCGGAAGCACCTCAAGGTAGCCTCAAGGTAGAGAGAGTGAGGGGCAGGAGTATAGTGAGAGAGAGTGAGGGGCAGGAGTATGGTGAGAGAGTGAGGGCAGGAGTATGGTGAGAGTGTGCGGGGGAGGAGTATGGTGAGAGAGAGTGAGGGGAGGAGTGTGAGAGGAGAGTGACAAGTTCTGTCTCATCTTGTCCCAAGACTTCACTCAAACACTCTACCTCTAATGACAGCGTCAAGCAACGTGGAGTGGGCGACCCCCGCCCACTCCACCACACACATGCCACGCTGCAGCGTCCAACAGTCTGATTGACCAGACCACCAGCCAGAAGACCTCGTCAGAGACCGGGCCGCGGGGACATGGATCCCCGGAAGAAGTAGTAAACCCCAGAAGATAAACTTAGCAGAGTTTCTATTTCGTTATCATTTCACGCTTCGCTTCTCACCATCCAGATGAAATATATTTGGCAGCTGGTTGTAAACTGATTAGCTGATTGTGTTGCGTGATTGTTTTCCAGGGTCGTGTGATTGTTCCATCAGCCGGTCCTTGTACTTCAACTCTCTTAGCTCTGGCAACAATTTTCTTGCAAACCTTTTTATTACTTTCAATTTGCTTTTATGCCTCACTAGTAAAGCCTTGGCTCTCGGGCCGGGCTTGGGGAGTAGAAGAACTCCCAGAACCCCATCAAGCCGGTGTAGATAGCCTTATGGTGTATAGATAGCCTTATGGTGTATAGATAGCCTTATGGTGTATAGATAGCCTTATGGTGTGTAGATAGCCTTATGGTGTATAGATAGCCTTATGGTGTATAGATAGCCTTATGGTGTATAGATAGCCTTATGGTGTATAGATAGCCTTATGGTGTATAGATAGCCTTATGGTGTATAGATAGCCTTATGGTGTATAGATAGCCTTATGGTGTATAGATAGCCTTATGGTGTATAGATAGCCTTATGGTGTATAGATAGCCTTATGGTGTATAGATAGCCTTATGGTGTATAGATAGCCTTATGGTGTGTAGATAGCCTTATGGTGTATAGAAAGCCTTATGGTGTGTAGATAGCCTTATGGTGTATAGATAGCCTTATGGCTTAGATAGCCTTAAGGCATAGATAGCCTTATGACATAGATAGCCTTATGGTGTATAGATAGCCTTATGGTGTATAGATAGCCTTATGGTGTATAGATAGTCTTATGGTGTATAGATAGTCTTATGGTGTATAGATAGCCTTATGGTGTATAGATAGCCTTATGGTGTATAGATAGTCTTATGGTGTATAGATAGCCTTATGGCATAGATAGCCTTATGGTGTATAGATAGCCTTATGGTGTATAGATAGCCTTATGGTGTATAGATAGCCTTATGGTGTATAGATAGCCTTATGGTGTATAGATGGCCTTATGGCATAGATAGCCTTATGGTGTATAGATAGTCTTATGGTGTATAGATAGCCTTATGGCATAGATAGCCTTATGGTGTATAGATAGCCTTATGGTGTATAGATAGCCTTATGGTGTATAGATAGCCTTATGGTGTATAGATAGCCTTATGGTGTATAGATAGCCTTATGGTGTATATATAGCCTTATGGTGTATAGATAGCCTTATGGTGTTTAGATAGCCTTATGGTGTATAGATAGCCTTATGGTGTATAGATAGCCTTATGGTGTATAGATAGCCTTATGGTGTATAGATAGCCATATGGAGTGTAGATAGCCTAATGGTGTATAGAAAGCCTTATGGTGTGTAGATAGCCTTATGGTGTATAGATAGCCTTATGGTGTGTAGATAGCCTTATGGTGTATAGATAGCCTTATGGCTTAGATAGCCTTAAGGCATAGATAGCCTTATGGCATAGATAGCCTTATGGTGTATAGATAGCCTTATGGTGTATAGATAGCCTTATGGTGTATAGATAGCCTTATGGTGTATAGATAGTCTTATGGTGTATAGATAGCCTTATGGTGTATAGATAGCCTTATGGTGTATAGATAGCCTTATGGCGTAGATATCCCTGGTGTGAGAGGGAGGACGGGCAGGGGGTAGGATACACCAGGCAGGCAGAAGATAACAAGGAAATTCCATCAAGGATGATGCAGAGTTAATAAGAAAACAGAATTAAGAACCATTAAGAAGGTCGCGATAAGAAAAAGGAGTAGAGAGAATAATGGAGACGAAGCAAGATAAGGGAAAATCAAGATGAGGTCCCTGTTTGGGCTCCCTGTTTGGGGGTCCCTGTCTTGGGGTCCCCTGTCTGGGGGGTCCCTATTTGGGGTCCCTGCCTGGGGGTCCCCTGTCTGGGGGTCCCTGTCTGGGGGTCCCCTGTCTGGGGGTCCCCTGTCTGGGGGTCCCTGCCTGGGGGTCCCCTGTCTGGGGGTCCCCTGTCTGGGGGTCCCTGTCTGGGGGTCCCTGTCTGGGGGTCCCTGTCGGGGGTCCTTGTCTGGGGGTCCCTGTCTGGGGGTCCCTGTCTGGGGGTCCCTGTCTGGGGGGTCCCTGTCTGTGGGGTCCCTGTCTGTGGGGTCCCTGACTGGGAGAGTCCCTGTCTGGGAGGGTCCCTGTCGGGGCTGCAAATGTTCTAGGAGGCGCCAGGGAGTGAGAAGCGGCCAGGCAGATAGTGAACATGTGGATGAATGGATAGTGAAAGTGTGGATGAGAATTTATAGTGAATATGTGTATTAATAACAAGATTTGGGAGGGGAAATACACTGCGGTGGGGGACAGTGATGGTGGTGGAGTGGAAGACTGTGGTGGGGGTACTTAGCTATCAGTGTCTATAGGGAAGTAAGGTCTCTAGCTCTCTGTGCCCCGACCAGTAGCCTTGCAGCTGTTGCATTTCACCTTAACTACTCCTGACTTTCAAACTCTTTGTCCAATCTGGCCTTAAAGTTGTGGACGGAGGTGGCTTCCACGACGTTTCTTTGAAAGCATTCCATTTGTTACGTGTACTTAGTTAGGTTCATTTATGCCTACAGCTTTTACCAATGTCCTCTTGTCCTGCTTTCTCTCAGTCTGAAGAGGGTATCGTTATCTACCTTATCTATTCCACTCAGTATCTTGTAAGTTGAGATCATATCCCCTCTGTTCTATCCTCTAGGACTGGGAGATTTGGTTCCATTAGACTATGTTCGTAGCTTAATCCTTTTACTCACTGCTGGACTGTTTTCTAAGAGAAGTTCCGGATCAGCCGGGCTGTGGTGGGTATGTGGGCCTGCGGGCCGCTCCAAGCAACAGCCTGGTGGACCAAACTCTCACAAGTCAAGCCTGGCCTCGGCCCGGGGAGTAGAAGAACTTCCAGAACCCCATCAACCAGGTAAGCAGGTACCAATCGTGCTACAAACCTTTTGTACTTTTTTAATTTTGGCTTTATGCTTCACAAGGTGCGGATTCCCTGCCGGTGATGCGTATTCCAGTATTGGTCTAACGAATGTTGAGTAGATTGCTTTGAAGGAGTCCTGATTCAGGTTCTTAAACGATGTTCTTGTATTTGCCAGCATCCCATATGCTGCTGATGTTATCCTGTGTGTGTGTGTCTCCGGTGTGAGTATCGGAATTATATCCACTTCTAAGATCGTTCTCTTTATCTGATTCCTGGAGGTGCCTTCCCTCTATGGTGTAGATACCTTCTGGTCTTCTCTATTTCCCATCTTCATTACCTTACACTTGTTGGGATAGAATTCCAGCAGCCATCTTCTTGACCACTCCTGGAGCTTGTCAAGGACCTCCTGTAACTTCCTGCAGTCCTCATATGTTTTCACATTCCTCATCAGCTTTGCATCATCTGCAAACATTGACACGTCTGAGCTCACTCCCTCGGGCAGGTCGGTCACATAAATTCGGAACAGCAGCGGGCCCAGGACAGAGTCTTGTAGGACCCCACTTGGTACATTCCTCCAAATAGAAACCTGGGGCCAGATTCACGAAGCAGTTACGCAAGTATTTACGAACGTGTACATCTTTCCTCAATCTTCGACACCTTTGGTTACATTTATTAAACAGTTTGCACGCCTGAAAACTTCCCATTTAACTGTTGTTATTGTTATAAATAGCCTCCAGGTGCTTCCGAGCTCATTAACTGTTTAATAATTGTAAACAAAGCCGCCAAAAATGGAGAAAAGATGTACAGGTTCGTAAGTACTTGCGTAAGTGCTTTCGTGAATCTGGCTCCCTGGGTTGTCTATCTTGTGGAGCAGTCTTTCATCGGGGAAGAGTGTCAAATGCCTTGTGACAGTCTAGAACTATTGTCTACCCTGCCTTAATTTAGTGACCTTGTCATAAAACTCAATCAAGTTCGTGAGGCATGACTTTCCGTTTCTAAGTCCTCTGAAGATTCTCCACCATTCTTTGACCTAGTGTTGGGGTGGGAGATGAGGTGAGGGGGGGGTGCTGGGGTGGGAGATGAGGTGGGGGGGGGTAATGGGGGTGGCGGTGGGGGAGGGGGGGGTGCTGGGGGGGAGAGGGGGGTGGTGGTGATAGGGTTTTCGTGTTTTTGATGTTGTGTGTTGACAAGTTTGTTATCGGATTTGAGTTCGTGATCGTGTTTTTCCCTGGTGCCACTCAGTGTCATCCTTGGTGCCACAGACACAGTGCCATCCTTGGTGCCACAGTCACAGTGGCATCCTTGGTGCCACAGTCACAGTGGCATCCTTGGTGCCACAGACACAGTGGCATCCTTGGTGCCACAGACACAGTGGCATCCTTGGTGCCACAGACACAGTGTCATCCTTGGTGCCACAGACAGTGTCATCCTTGGTGCCACAGACACAGTGCCATCCTTGGTGCCACAGTCACAGTGGCATCCTTGGTGCCACAGTCACAGTGGCATCCTTGGTGCCACAGTCACAGTGCCATCCTTGGTGCCACAGTCACAGTGCCATCCTTGGTGCCACAGTCACAGTGGCATCCTTGGTGCCACAGACACAGTGCCATCCTTGGTGCCACAGTCACAGTGCCATCCTTGGTGCCACAGTCACAGTGGCATCCTTGGTGCCACAGTCACAGTGGCATCCTTGGTGCCACAGACACAGTGTCATCCTTGGTGCCACAGACACAGTGGCATCCTTGGTGCCACAGACACAGTGGCATCCTTGGTGCCACAGACACAGTGCCATCCTTGGTGCCACAGACACAGTGCCATCCTTGGTGCCACAGACACAGTGCCATCCTTGGTGCCACAGACACAGTGCCATCCTTGGTGCCACACACAGTGCCATCCTTGGTGTGCCACTGTGTCTGCGTCGTCTCTAGCCGAGGTTGTGGGAAGCTTGTATATATATATATATATATATATATATATATATATATATATATATATATATATATATGTCGTACCTAGTAGCCAGAATGCACTTCTCGGCCAACTATGCAAGGCCCGATTTGCCTTATAAGCCAAGTTTTCCTGAATTAATATATTTTCTCTAATTTTTTCTTATGAAATGATAAAGCTACCCATTTCATTATGTATGAGGTCAATTTCTTTTTATTGGAGTTAAAATTAACGTAGATATATGACCGAACCTAACCAACCCTACCTAACCTAACCTAACCTATCTTTATAGGTTAGGTTCGGTTAGGTAGCCGAAAAAGGTAGGTTAGGTTAGGTTAGGTAGGTTAGGTAGTCGAAAAACAATTAATTCATGAAAACTTGGCTTATTAGGCAAATTGAGCCTTGCATAGTAGGCTGAGAAGTGTGTTCTGGCTACTAGGTACGACATATATATATATATATATATATATATATATATATAATGTCGTACCTAGTAGCCAGAACGCACTTCTCAGCCTACTATGCGAGGCCCGATTTGCCTAATAAGCCAAGTTTTCCTGAATTAATATATTTCCTCAAATTTTTTTCTTATGAAATGATAAAGCTACCCATTTCATTATGTATGAGGTCAATTTTTGTTATTGGAGTTAAAATTAACGTAGATATATGACCGAACCTAACCAACCCTACCTAACCTAACCTAACCTAACCTATCTTTATAGGTTAGGTTCGGTTAGGTAGCCGAAAAAGTTGGGTTAGGTTAGGTAGGTTAGGCAGTTGAAAAACAATTAATTCATGAAAACTTGGCTTATTAGGCAAATCGGGCCTTGCATAGTAGGCTGAGAAGTACGTTCTGGCTACTAGGTACGACATATATATATATATATATATATATATATATATATATATATATATGTCGTACCTAGTAGCCAGAACTCACTTCTCAGCCTACTATTCATAGCCCGATTTGCCTAATAAGCCAAGTTTTCCTGAATTAATATATTTACTATAATTTTTTTCTTATGAAATGATAAAGCAACCCTTTTCTCTATGTATGAGGTCAATTTTTTTTTATTGGAGTTAAAATTAATGTAGATATATGACCGAACCTAACCAACCCTACCTAACATAACCTAACCTATATTTATAGGTAAGGTTAGGTTAGGTAGCCAAAAAAAGCTAGGTTAGGTTAGGTTAGGTAGGTTAGGTAGACGAAAAAACATTCATTCATGAAAACTTGGCTTATTAGGCAAATCGGGCCTTGAATAGTAGGCTGAGAAGTGCGTTCTGGCTATTAGGTACGACATATATATATATATATATATATATATATATATATATATATATATATATATATATAATATAGAAGTTTGTGAGGGTACCACCTCTGGTGCCAATGTGGGGACCCATAGCCTCGGAGAAGAAAATAAAAAGTATTCAGAGGAGACCTTGTGGTTTCTCACTGAACACTAATATTATCTTCTCCTACCACCCCCATTCTTTTGTATGTACACATATATATTTACTTTATTTGAACTTTGTTACAAAAAAGGAGTTACATATGGGTTACAAAGATGGTTATCATAGGTTGTCGAGTTCCTCCAGCTCCTCAGATGGCGGGCAGGAACCCTGGATGCAGTGCGCATTAGCCCTCTGTATCGCCACACTGAGGCGCTGGAAAAGAAAGCTTGCAGCTCTTGGGTCCCTTGTTGTTTTAATGAACCTAGAACCTAGTTCCTTCAAAAAACTGGTAGCACTTTTACCCCAGGCGCCAAGTGTCTCAGAAGCAATGGGGACAAAATTGTAGTGGTGATCCAGTTCTCTATACATACGGGATTTGGCTGCTTCCCTGTGGGTGGCAGCGCCACCTGGTTGTGCAACACTGAGGTTAATGTAGGTGTTAGCCAGGGTTGATACGCACGTGTAGTCCCATACCAACTGCTTGCCATTCTTCCAGGGGTTCACTGTGATACCATCCGGGCGACCAATAAGAGCATCAGAGTTACGGGGCGTTAGGTAACGGGGCTCTCTTTCAGCTGGGCATCCAGCTGTGGTGAGGCTCCTCTTGATGATGTCATTAACTTCACTGTGCCTCGAGTGCCATCCCCCTGTGCTTTGGCAGAGTAGGCCATGGTGGCCGTACCTGTCAGCCACCACCTCGCCGCAAATACACCTATATCTGGTGTGGATTGGGGCAGAGGCGGAGGGCCACAGCAATTCGGAGGGCGTGTGGTGTAAGACGCGTGCCAGTTGCCGACATTGGGGTTGCTAACAGGAAATCCTCTGCATGTGGTGCTGCTACTGTATGTATATATATATATATATATATATATATATATATATATATATATATATATATATAATGTCGTACCTAGTAGCCAGAACTCACTTCTCAGCCTACTATGCGAGGCCCGATTTGCCTAATAAGCCAAGTTTTACTGAATTAATATATTTCCTCAAATTTTTTTCTTATGAAATGATAAAGCTACCCATTTCATTATGTATGAGGTCAATTTTTTTTTTATTGGAGTTAAAATTAACGTAGATATATGACCGAACCTAACCAACCCTACCTAACCTAACCTATCTTTATAGGTTAGGTTTGGTTAGGTAGCCGAAAACGTTAGGTTAGGTTAGGTAGGTTAGGTTGTCTAAAAAACATTAATTCATGAAAACTAGGCTTATTAGGCAAATCGGGCCATGCATAGTAGGCTGAGAAGTGAGTTCTGGCTACTAGGTACGACATATATATATATATATATATATATATATATATATATATATATATATATATATATATATATATATATATATTGCATTCTTCTGTTCCTGCTAAAGCACCTTTCTGGTGCTTTATATACGCTATATATATTGTTTTATATATATATATATTTCGAAGCTCTCTACATAATAGTTTTCATGGCGTTCATATGCTTTTATATTTAAACCATACTATCCAACCCCTCCCCCTTTGGGCCATGCACCCCCCCCCTCCTCTGGGCCATGCACCCCCCCTCCTCTGGGCCATGCACTCCCCCCCCCTCCTCTGGGCCATGCACCCCTCCCCCCTCCCTCATCACCCCAACTGCGCCTTGCACCACCCCTCTCCCCCCCCCTCACACACACCCCTAACTACCTCATTTACCGTAAATCGGCTCATCAGTCATTTGGGTGCCGGGTCCTGCGGTACTGTCATGTTGTTGCCTCACACACACACACACACTCACGCCTCACACACACTCACGCCTCACACACACACACACACTCACGCCTCACACACACTCACGCCTCACACACACACACTCACACACACACACACTCACGCCTCACACACACACACTCACACACACACACACTCACGCCTCACACACACTCACTCACGCCTCACACACACACTCACGCCTCACACACACACACTCACGCCTCACACACACTCACTCACGCCTCACACACACACTCACGCCTCACACACACACTCACGCCTCACACACACACTCACGCCTCACACACACACTCACGCCTCACACACACTCACGCCTCACACACACTCACGCCTCACACACACTCACGCCTCACACACACTCACTCACGCCTCACACACACACACTCACGCCTCACACACACACTCACGCCTCACACACACTCACTCACGCCTCACACACACACTCACGCCTCACACACACTCACGCCTCACACACACTCACTCGTCACACACAAACACACACTCACTCGTCACACACAAACACACACTCACTCGTCACACACACACACACTCACGCCTCACACACACACACACACACACACACACACACACACACACACACACACACACACACACACACACACACACACACACACACTCACGCCTCACACACACACACACTCACGCCTCACACACACACACACTCACGCGTCACACACACACACACACACACACACACACACACACACACACACACACACACACACACACACACACACACTCACGCCTCACACACACACACACTCACGCGTCACACACACACACACACACTCACGCGTCACACACACACACACTCACGCGTCACACACACACACACACACACACACACTCACGCGTCACACACACACACACACACACACACACACACACACACACACACACACACACACACACACACACACACCACACACACACACACACTCACGCGTCACACACACACACACTCACGCGTCACACACACACACACACACACTCACGCGTCACGCACACACACACACACACACACACACTCACGCGTCACACACACACACACACACACACTCACGCGTCACACACACACACACACACACACACACACACACACACTCACGCGTCACACACACACACACACTCACGCGTCACACACACACACACACACACACTCACGCGTCACACACACACACACACACACACTCACGCGTCACACACACACACACACACTCACGCGTCACACACACACACACACACTCACGCGTCACACACACACACACACACACACACACACACACACACACACACACACACACACACACACACACACACACACACTCACGCGTCACACACACACACACACACACACACACACACACACACACGCACACACACTCACGCGTCACACACGCACACACACTCGCGTCTCACGCACACACTCTCGCGCCTCACGCACACACTCTCGCGCCTCACGCACACACTCTCGCGCCTCACGCACACACTCTCGCGCCTCACGCACACACTCTCGCGCCTCACGCACACACTCTCGCGCCTCACGCACACACTCTCGCGCCTCACGCACACACTCTCGCGCCTCACGCACACACTCTCGCGCCTCACGCACACACTCTCGCGCCTCACGCACACACTCTCGCGCCTCACGCACACACTCTCGCGCCTCACGCACACACTCTCGCGCCTCACGCACACACTCTCGCGCCTCACGCACACACTCTCGCGCCTCACGCACACACTCTCGCGCCTCACG